TTAAAAAAATGTGAAAAGAAAAATACAACCAAATTTAATTGAAACGAAATAAGTAGCAGCAAAGAATTTACAATATATTTGCCTCTTTATTTTTAATATTTTTCCTTGTTTAAAACTCTTCCTACCAATTTAGTAAAAATTCGTTCATTGTTCATTTAAAATTCAAAATGATTTTCGTTGAAATGTAAACACAACGTTTAACAATTTATATTTTTCTAGATTAAAATTTTATTTATTTTCATTTACGCAATTTTGCAAGGAGTAACCAAACAATGAGCAGCATAAGTTACAAACGCCCAGAAGTATGCAACAGCGAGTGCAATTGTTAAGTTGCAAATTTACACACAATTTCACTTAAATTTATACATACACGCCACGCCAAATGCCAAATTCAGTACGAAAATGAACAGATGCCATAGCAGCTAAACAATTCCAGCTGTAACTATTGGACTGTTGGGTAACCATTTCAACAAAAATAGTTCCAATAAAAGACGAGGAAAAAAAATTAATATTGTTGTAGGCTGACCTCTTTTAAATTTTCTGTTTGCATTTGTTACTGCATTTAGCTGCGTAACTGCATTTACATCTTTTAACAAATACGAGCTGCATTGCATTGCAAATTGCAATTGCTACAGCAAGTTCTGGTTCAGTGCGTCACAAACAGAAAAACGTCCCAACAGCTACAAATAAAATTCTCCAGTTGGGTTTATGTGCCAGAGAAGTGAATTAAATTTTTGTGTACGAAAAATGCATAAATTGCTTGCTGCATTTCATTGAGCTGCTGGCTTGCTGTTGCTGCTGCATTTGTTGCACTTATTGCACTCTCATTTTTGTTAGCCCCCAAAATGCTGCAATGAAAAATATAACTTATGTCAGACAAGCAGGACGTAACAATGAACAGCACATGACATACAAAAAAGCATTCAGAAATTGTTGCTGGCAACATTTGCAGCCATAAATTTCATTACACTTGACCTATTGAGTTGAATTGAATTGCATCCAGTTAAGTTCTTTGCGCAGAACTATTCCAAAAAAAATGTTACTCACACGACTTGGCTGGTTTGGGTTTGGTTTAGTTTGGCTTGAGCTTGGGTTTGCTTTGACTTGGTTTGATTTCATTTTGCTTGTTGGTGCTTTGTGGCGAAACGCATAAAATGATATTGAATTATTGTGCGAAATACGTGAATGAATACTGGACACAAATACAAGTACATAAGCCAGAAGACTTAACTGCTTTGCAAATTTGTTTTATTATAGTTTACTCGGTTTGGTACTGTTATTTACACAATCTGGTGCATTTGGAGTAGAAACATCGCTCTTTTTTTCTGAATTTGTTTTTCATTGGATAGATTTTTATGTTTTTGTTTTTGGAATTATAAAGAAGTGATTCCATTAGTAGATATAAATCTTATACGATTAAATAGTCAATTACATTAAAACGTCTATTCTGACAGACAAAACAAATACTATAACAAATAGCATGTCCTTATATAAAATAATAAAACTTGTTTTTATTAAATATTTATTTAATATCTTTTTTCTAATATCTAATCAATAATAAATTTATTAATATTATTTTCGAAATTTTTTTAAATAATATTCCTTATTCAGCAATCATAATTGCTATAAATTAGCAAGGATAAAAGGAATATTTCATAATTACATTATTACTATGACATAATCTTCTTGATCATCGCACTAGCAATGCATTAAAGCATTTACGAACTATAATATATTAAAATCCATTACACATTTTGAATACAGCTGAATGTAACTTTTTATGGATATGTGCAATTCAACTAATTGAGAATTATAAAATAAATATGAAATCAAAATAAAATTTAATCACATTCAGAATTAGAAGCAAGTGTATAGTAGACTTACGCAATTCTGTAATATTATATTGCTGTCAAATGTGTTTAGATTAAGTATTTGATAATGAACGTCAAACAAGTCGAAAATAGTAGTTAAAAATAGTAAATAAATTATTTATAGTCCTGCAAGAACGTATCAATGTCATATCTGTGTAACATTTTAATTGTATCCAAACAATACTTGTAAAATGCTTACTAAAATTATAAAGAAGAAATTATGACAGTATTGTTTCTAAACGTTTTCAAATTTTTAATTCTGATTGTCTTCTGAAAGTATATTATTTAATTTGATATACCATATACTTAGTCCAAGTGAAATGAAATCACTTTTTTAAAAAATATTAATTTAAATATTAATTTCGAATTAGTTCAAAAATATGGGTATATGAAGAAAACTAAAAAATCTTTTTAACTTTTAATTTTGGCGTAAACAAGGATGTCAATAAATTGTTAACAACTTTTTACTTAACCAGTATAATTCAATGTCATTTTATGAATTTATTCTTAATAATCTTTTTGTCATAAAGTACTTATCAAGCAGAGGTGTTGTTTTTAAAAGGTTTTATAAATACTCAATTAATTAATTTTGATAATTTTATACTATTTCATAGAAGATTTTTATTATTAATAAATGTAATTATGATCAATTGACGAAATAATCTGTTTTAAACCTAATTTGGTAATTAGAATAATTAAATTAAATAAAATATTAACTGTAGAATACCAATGAACTAAACAAAATAATATGAAAATGTAAGGAAACGAAATTGCGAAATTTATGCAAAATACAAAAAATGTTTCTATTAATTTATATAAATTCTTTTTCATACATAATATTAATAATGTGTCCAATAATGAATTATTTATTTAAAATAAAAAAGAGAATTATGTTGAGGAAATTTTAAACTAATAAATTTGATTTTGTGATCAAGCAAATTTTTGGACAATTTTGGACTGTTTTGGACAATTTTTGACTATTTTGGACAATTTTCGACTATTTTGGACAGTGCCAAATATTTTATATCTTATAGATTCAGAAGCATATATTGACTTAAGAGTTCAATATTAATTGTTTCGTTTACATATATCAGGAATTAAATCCTATCAAAACCTGTGGACTCGTGTGTAACAAGCAAAGTCGACGTATACTTAATTTTTGTAATTTAAATTTTAATTTTTTCATTTTTTTTAAAAGGAACATAGTTTTATAATTTTATGTTGAAATTTTTCAAATTCAAACACTTATGTGTGTAGAAAATATTACTGTGAATTTGCATTAGATCGCATTTATAGAGTAGCAGTGTTTTGATTAGAGTAGTACAGAATATCTGCAGCAGCAAGAATATTTGTATTTAAATTTCTTAGATTATAGCGATTTGAATGTACTTCATTTTTGTACGTACTATATAAGTTCATAGTTTGAATTTAATAGTTCTTATTCCCTGATGCTATGTATTCAAAAGTTAAATACCGATTGTTAAATTAATTTTACATTCTGCAGGCCTGTTTATAGCATATATAGAGAGACAGCAAAAATATATGTTTAAATACAATACATAATACATTTTTTCTGTGAATGCCCTGCTTTGGCATCCAGAAGATCAAGGTTCTTAGGAAAATATATCTTTAATAGTTTATCAGACTGTTAATCGGTGATGACGAAAGGCCTTTAAATTACCTAAATTCGGCAGGATGGATTTAGTCTCTTCTTTTCTATACTAGGGTTCTTGCGAGGAATGTGGTAGCAAAACGGCGAAAAACTGATAATTGGGGTACATGGACGTTATCTAATGGCTTGCCACTGCAACCAACCATGTGTTAAAATTATCCAGAAAATTGCTAATTTAATGTACCTCGAATTTGTATGTTTTTCATTAGTTCACGGTTTAAATTTGACAGGATTCAGTTTCTGATAGTTATGTCCAAGAGCATTAAATATTTGGCAGTGTCCAAAATTAAAAACGTTTAGTCCAAAAATTGATTTGTTTAAAAAATCAATTTTTGAGTTTAAAAATTTCTATAATATTTATTCACGACAAGATATATTATAATATTTATATAAAAAATAGAGAAATTTTTGTTTCTGCATAAAAACTTACAAAATGCGTTAGTAAACTATTCCACTGTAAATGTATTCGCCAAGGATTATAAATGACGTAAGCGAGTAGCTAAATAAGTTAGACAGGAAACGTAGCCATGTAATATGAAAATTATTCGATTTTCGCGGATAAAAATATTAATGAACTTTAATTTTATTGATTGAATAAATAATTTTATATGAGTTTATGTTTATGTGAATATGTGGTATATTGTATTGAGATTAGTTTCACCTGAGTCTTGATATAAAATCTGTATATAACACACAAACAAACAAATAATTACAAAACAATATTCAACAACGTTATATTAAATAATAAATAAAATAAATAAATAAAATTTTGTTAAATTACAAACAACTACTATAAAATTTATATAATTTTTTAGAAATTACTATATACGAGTACATACATAACTTGGTTAGAAACGATATTAAGTATTGTATATATATATGAATTAATGCTACTATTTTTATTTTTTTTTTAATTATTTTGTAATTAAAGTAACTCAAATTTTTTTATTATAGCTGTTGCCAAAAATGCAATTATTTAATTGATTACTAATTAAAAATAATATTAACAAATTTTTATTAGCAATACAAAGGCTGAAAAACAATTTCTACTGCAACAAAAAATATTTTTCTTAGATATTTAAATTGCAAATAACTGAAAAATTATTGAAAAATAATTAATTCAAATATAAAATTGCAAAAAACATATATAAAAAATTTGTATTTTAATTGAGTTCACAACAAGCTTAATTAAAAAAATTAAAACTGAAATCAAAACCTAATTTAAAAAATGCAAATAATTTAATTTTCAAACGTGCAGTTCTTATATATTTAAACAGAAAGATACATTGCCGGAAAAATAAGATAAATAAAATTGTTTTGTTTACGTTTTGTTGTTGTGTGTTAATGTCTGTTTAATTTATTGCATAAATTTTAATTGAATATAAAACTTTCAACCAATTAATTGACTATTCTATTTTTCTTTTTAAATTACTTCAAACGATGCTGGCAACACTTACACTTGAGGTAATCTAACTCCTCTGGAATCATACAGTGGATAATAGACTTTGTTCCTAAAGTTATAAAGTTGAAATAAGAAAAAAAAAATAAAAATTACGTAAATTAAGAAACAATATTAAAAAATTACAAAATTAAGTTAAATATTTTAAGCAAATAACAGCTTTAAAATTTCTCCCAAGGAAAGGCAAATAGCGTAAAGCAGCACGACAAAAAAAACATTATAGTTCAAAAATATACATAAAATTACTTTTGCCTTTAAATATTTTCAATTATTTTTTTCCCATATTTTTATTTAAGTTTTCTTAAGGTTTTTATATAATTTATTTAAAATTTTCTTAAGTATATAAGAAAGTTATAGAAAGTTTTTCTAGCGCGCAGTATAAAATTGTTTCATACACCCTTACTAGGATTATAGATTATTATTGGATTAATGACAATTGCTGTACAATGAAATTATTTTTACATAAAAAATAGTTTCTTTTTTATTTTTTTTAATATTTTTACACATTTATTACATATTAACATTAAGTAAATTATTTATAGTTAAATTATTTACTATACAACAAATTATTGGTAAATTTTTTTTATAAGTTAACTTACGGTTTTGGTAAGATTGTGTTATTTAAATTATCTTTCCATTGTAAATCTGACACTAAATTCGGATCTGGTACCATGGGTTTGCATGTTAAAATTAGAGACTTTCCAACTGGTTTACGTTGTACTTCTTGCTTTGGAAAAATTTCAAGTCTTGGTTGAATTTCAGCAAATGCAACATCTGAAATAAAAAATTAAAATTATTTTTAATATAATTTAGATTTGAAATTTAAAGTACTAAATAAATACTATATTAATATTAAATACTAAATTAAATACTAAATACTGAATACTGAGCAGTTTGAACTTTTCGTTACAAAACGAATACTGAATGGTTTGAACTATCGATTATAAAACGAATACTGAATAGCTCAAAAAATTCATTATAAACATTGAGCAGTTCGAACTAGGTATATGCTATAAAGCGAGTACTGAATGGTTTAAACTAAGAAAATGAATACTGAGGCAGTTCGAACTATTCATTATAAAACGAGTACTGAATGGTTTGAATTATTCATTATAAAACGAGTGCTGAATGGTATGAAGCATTTATTATAAAAAGCAGTTCGAATTATTCATTACAAAACGAATAGTGAATAATTCGAATTATTCATTATAAAACGAATAGTGAATAATTCGAATTATTCATTATAAAACGAATAGTGAATAATTCGAAATATTCATTATAAAACGAATAGTGAATAATTCGAATTATTCATTATAAAACGAATACTGA